TGGAAGGAGCCCCATGTGGCGCAATGGTTTAAACCCTTGTGCCAGCAGGACTGAAGATTGACAGTTCAGAGGTTCGAATCGAGGGAGAGCACGGATGAGCTCCCTCTGTCAGCTCCAGCTCCCCATGTGGAGACACGAGAGAAGCCTCCCACAAGGATGGTAAAACATCAAAACATCCTGTCGTCCACTGGGCAACATCCTTGCAGATAACCAATTCTCTCACACCAGAAGCAACTTGCAGTTTATTAAGTCACTCCTGACACACACACACAATATTGGATGGAAAAGAAAACCCATGCTGTAAGCAGTATTTCAGAGGAAGCTACCGGCCAAACTACCTGAGTATTCCTTGTATAAGAAAACCCTATGAAATTCATGTGGTTGCCATAAATCAACAGGCTTCGACGCCCACGACAAGGCAGACTTGTCTGCAGACTCACACAGAATTTAATTTTATGCCTTGAAATTTTGTATTGTTTATTGCTTGTATTGCTTTATTTTAAAATTGTGTTTAGTGGGTAGCTTAAAATGTGATAAACAGTCACATGTATACTGCCCTGTAATCCATTTTTGGATGATTTTTTAGAAGTTTTCAAAATGACATTTCACTTAAATTTAAATAAGGCTTTACTGTTAAATCCGTGGTTCAAAGAAAGACAGGTGCCTTTTCCAATACATTTCTTAATCTCTTCAATGCATAAAACTCTCTCCCTGACAGTTTTCCTCTGGGAACCAGCACTAGGTTGATAACCAGAAACATACATATTCATGCCGATTTCATTTTAGAAGTCAGAGAATCTTTCCAATTTAGTTTCGGCTGTATTCTGCAAGCCATTTGCGGTATAATATTCAGAATCAGGTTTACCTGAGGTCAGTGGGATTTTCTATTTTTGCCAGTGAAACTGACCTTTCCGTTTGAATTCACTAACTTGAAAAGAACAAAATGTTGTTGTTTTTTTACTTTTAAAAAATCAAAGTTATGAAAACATTTCAATTACTATGTTCCCTGCAATAAATTATGTCAGAGTGTGAGGGCATAGATTAACGTGAACGAAGTGTGGTCATTGCACTGAAGGTATCCAAAACCACTCCTGAATCATCTTCCTTGTCTGTTCCACACATGCTTCATAATGTTCCACGGATTAACTCTTTCACAGCTAGCAGCACTTATATCTCCCTCCAGCTGCCAACCGCTCCCGCACCAACCACACCTCCCTCTGCACCAACTACCCTTGGCCTCCCCTGCCTGGTCCACTATGCAGCCCCCTCCCACCCAAAAACATTTGCCCATGCTTGTTATAATCTATAGTGGCATCTACAGATCCTCTCTGGTCTTGAAAGCTAAGCAGAGTCATCCCATTTTAATACTTGAATGGGAGGCTGCCAATTAATTCCAGGTGCTGCAGGCTGTATTTCAGATGAAAGAATTGCCACCTCGTATTCCTTGTCTAAGAAAACCTTATGAAACTCATGGGCTTGTTGTTAGCAGTCATGCCATTAGAAGGCAACAGAGGCATACTCATTTCTGGAACACGAATCCCTATAGATGAGGGATTCTCATCTTAAATAGGATAGTTGTTGTTGTGTTTCAGACTTATGACCTCATCACATGGCGTGTTTTCCCTATTGTAGGACATTTCATCTCTGTTTCAAGGACAAAGAGACACAAAGCCTATTAAACAACGTTTGCCTACTTCTGGCCATCATCCATTGCCCTTCATCCTTGAAATGGAACTGAAGTGTGCTGAAAGGAGGGAGTTCAGAACATGGGTGCGTAATCACGTTCTGAGCCCCTGGTGCGTGCCAGAATTGTCACTAATGCCAAAAAACACATGTAATAGGATCTGAAAAATTCACCCATGTTGAATCGTTTCAGTGACATGGAGGGAAGGGTGTTCCTCACCAATTTGCTGCCTCTGCATTTTCTCCTTAATAGTAGTCTGGGCTCCACAGGAAGTGGTGGATTTCTCTGTTACACTCCATTTTGTGAATTGCCCCTGCATGTTCCTTCTGTTTAAAGTGGTTTAAAAAGACAGTGTTGTTCCTACTGAAAGAAGCTTTTAAAAAAATATTCTGGTCTCCTTTAGAGGGAAACCACCAAATTGAAAGGAGCGTTAAAACTATAGGGGTGATTCCATTGAAAGAAGTGTTAAAGTGGAGTTAAAATTCTGCTGGTCTACTCAAGGGGAGGAATTTAAAAAGAAGAGGGGAAGATTTAAGTCTAAGAAGTTAGAAGATAGTTGAGCCTTGAGTCAGCTTGAGTACAGAAGTCTGTTTTTCAATCAGATGTCAATGTAGGAAGTTGGAAAACTGTTAATGCTTGAGTTCCTTTGAAAGTGGACAGTTATGAAAGAGAATTGTACAGAACAATACAGTTTTGAAGAGATTGTTAAAGACAACAAGTTAAAGATACAAACTGAAACGTTTTAAAGTTTAACCTGACTAGACATCAGCCTGTAGAATTTTAATACAGAGTTGTGAGTAAAGCAAACATGTTATTTTAAAAGAAGTCTATTTGAATCTTTGTCTGCTGAAAGCATTGAATAGAAATTATATCTATGTGCCCAGTGATCATTCATTACTGAGTAAAGTAAAGGAACACTTCCATAACTCTAATTCAGTGATTCTCACCTTCCCAATGCCGTGACCTCTTAATATAGTTCCTCATGTTGTGGGGACCCCATGTGTTTGGTGGTCCCTATGCAAACTGTTTTCTGATTATTTATTTTTTGGTCGTGTCAGGAGCGACTTGTGAAACTGCAAGTCGCTTCTGTTGTGAGAGAATTGGCTGTCTGCAAGGACGTTGCTCAGGGGACGCCTGGATGATTTGATGTTTTTATCATCCTTGTGGGAGGCTTCTCTCATGTCCCCGCATGAAGAGCTGGAGCTGATAGAGGGAGCTCATCCGCCTCTCCCTGGATTCGAACCTGCAACCTGTCGGTCTTCAGTCCTGCCGGCACAGGGGTTTAAGGAGGGTGTTCAGAACATGGGTGCGTAATCGCGTTCTGAGTCCCTGGTGCATGCCAGAACCATCGATAATGCCAAAAAACACATGTAATGGGATCTGAAAAATTCACCCATGTTGAATCGTTTCAGTGACATGGAGGAAAGGGTGTTCCTCACCACTTTGCCGCCTCTGCATTTTCTCCTTAATAGTAGTCTAGGCTCCATGGGAAGTGGTGGATTTCTCTGTTACACTCCATTTTATGAATTGCCCCTTCATGTGTTTGGTGGTCCCTATGCAAGCTGTTTTCTGATTATTATTTCTTTGGTCGTGTCAGGAGCGACTTAAGAAACTGCAAGTCGCTTCTGTTGTGAGAGAATTGGCCGTCTGCAAGGACGGTGCCCAGGGGACGCCCGGATGATTTGATGTTTTATCATCCTTGTGGGAGGCTTTTCTCATGTCCCCGCTGGAGCTGATAAAGGGAGCTCATCCACCTCTCCCTGGATTCGAACCTGCAACCTGTCAATCTTCAATCCTGCCGGCACAGGGGTTTAACCCACTGTGCCGGCTCCTGTTTTCGGATGGTCTTTGGTGACCCCTCTGATATTCCCCCCAGGGGTCCCCAACCCCCAGGTTGAGAAACACAGCTCTAATTCTTAATAGGTTATGATCCTAACAGGTCATAATCCATAATTCCCAATAGGTTGTGGTCTTTATTTATTTATTTATTTATTTATTTACTTACTTTACTTGTATATCGCAGTTTCTCAGCCCAACAGGCGACTCAACGCGGTTTACAACAAGGATAAGAATCAATCAACGATATACAATTTAAAACCATAAAAGCATAATATACAATATTGACACAACAATAGACAACACAATGCATCTCATAACTAGAGTCGTGATCCAATCCGTCGTCCAAATTTCCATTCCTGTAATCATCACATTCATTGCACTGTTTAACCGAATGCCCGTTCAAACATCCAAGTTTTTAATCTTCTTCGGAACACCATTAGCGAGGGGGCTGATCTTACCTCCATAGGAAGGGCGTTCCACAGCCGGGGGGCCACCACAGAAAAGGCCCTGTCTCTCGTCCCCGCCAGCCGCACCTGTGAAGCAGGCGGGATAGAGAGCAGGGCCTCCCCAGAAGATCTTAGGGTCCTGGCGGGCTGATAGGCAGAGATACGTTCGGATAGGTAACTTGGGCCAAAACCGTTTAGGGCTTTATAGGCCAACGCCAGCACTTTGAATTGAGCCCGGTAGCAAATCGGCAGCCAGTGGAGCTGGTGCAGCAGAGGAGTTGTATGCTCCCTGCGCTGCGCTCCACTCCTGTTAGTATCATGGCTGCCGAGCGTTGTACTAGCTGGAGCTTCCGAGCCGTCTTCAAAGGCAACCCCACGTAGAGAGCGTTGCAGTAGTTGCATTCTTAACTACAAGAATGCGTTGCAGTAGTTGCATTTGTTGCATTCTTAACTACAAAAATGGCTTCAAACTACATGAAAGGAGATTCCATCTGAACATCAGGAAGAACTTCCTGACTGTGAGAGCCATTCAGCAGTGGAACTCTCTGCCCCGGAGTGTGGTGGAGGCTCCTTCTTTGGAAGTTTTAAACAGAGGCTGGATGGCCATCTGTCAGGGGTGATTTGAATGCAATATTCCTGCTTCTTGGCAGGGGGTTGGACTGGATGGCCCATGAGGTCTCTTCCAACTCTTTGATTCTGTGATTAACAGTTCATCATACCAATACCAATACCAGGCATGGGAAACCTTGGCTCCTTCAGGTGTTTTGGACTTCAACTCCCACAAAGTCTAACTGGCTGTTAGGAATGGTGGGCTTTGAAGTCCAAAACACCTGGAGGGCCAAGTTTGCCCAAAGCAAGAGCAGTTGGGAAGGGTTCCTTTCAGTTGATACAAACCCATTAATGGGGATAAGAGGTTACAGCTGGCTTCTTACTCTGCCCTGCATCCCTATAGAGATAGAAGAGGGAGGAGATGGAGGGGCTGCACGTAGGCGTGCGTGATGACGTCATCCCCCAGTCAGGATAAGTGGGCTTGGTCTCCGAACCCCGGAAGTAGCGGCTTCAGTCGAATTCAGCAGCTGGAGGAGGAAGAAGGAACGTGAAGAGCCGCGGCAATAATTCCTTCTCTGTGTGTGTGCCTGCCTCCCCTTCCTCCTCCTCCTCCTCCGGGGCATCTTGCCGGGTTTTCCCCAGCGTTCGAGGCTGGAATGGTGCTGGCGCCGGCGTCCGCTGCCGGTGCTTTAAGGAGGAGGAGCCGCCATGGAGAGGCTGCTGCTGCTGCAACCCTTGGGGTGAGTGGCTGGCAGGCAGACACGCGTCGCCGAGGGATGAACGTGAGAATGGGTGAACACGAGAAGAGGTGAAAGTGACACTGAGAGGGCCCGGCTTCTCTGGAGTCGACACTGGAGTCGACTGACTTACAGCTTGGCAGGGCTCAGTGTTCTGGGTCCCTGGGAGTTGTAGTTTCCTGCATGGTCTTCTGCTACAGCCTGCTTTGCCAAATGAATGCTGCTCGGCAGGGCTCAATGCTGTGTAATTTTAGGAGTTGTAGGCTTGCAAGGTCTACACAGCCTTCTCAACCAAAGAAGACTTAGGGGCCTTGTCAAACTACAAATCCCAAGGTTGCATAGCATTCAGCCATGGCCTTAAGTTTCAAACTGCATTCATTCTGCAATGCAGGTGTATTCTCAACACTTTGGAGTAATGAGAGTTGTAGTTTTGCAAGGAGTTGTAGTGTCAAACGGTATTCATTATACAATGCGGATGTATTCTCAATATTGTGGAATAATGGGAGTTGTAGTTTTGCAAGGAGTTGTCATGCCAAACTATTCATTCTACAATGCAGATGTATTAATACTATGGAATAATGGGACTTGTAGTTTTGCAAGGAGTTGAAGTGCGGTTGTATTCTCAACACTATGAAGTAGTGGGAGTTGTAGTTTTGTGAGCCGTCTTGTCAGACTGCATTCATTCTATAATGCAGATGTATTCTCAATACTATGGAACAGTAAAAGTTGTAGTTTTGCAAGGAGTTGTCGTGCCAAACTGTATTCATTCTACAATTCAATGTATTCTCAGTACTGTGGAATAGTGGGAGTTGTAGTTTTCAAGGTTGTCATGTCAAACTGCATTCATTCTACAATGCAGATGTATTAATGCTCTGGAATAATGGGAGTTGTAGTTTTGCAAAGTTGTCATGTCAAACTGCATTCATTCTACAATGCAGATGTATTAATACTATGGGAGTTATAGTTTTGCAAGGAGTTGTCYTGTCAAATAGCATTAATTCTACAGTGTGGATGTATTCTCAACACTGTGGAACAGTGGGAGTTGTAGTTTTGCAAGGTTGTCATGTCAAACTGCATTCATTCTACAATGCAGATGTATTAATGCTCTGGAYTAATGGGAGTTGTAGTTCTGCAAGGAGTTGACATGACAAATGGCATTAATTCTATAGTGCGGATGTATTCTCAATACTATGGAACAGTGGGAGTTGTAGTTTTGCAAGGAGTTGTCGTGCCAAACTGRATTCTTTCTACAATTCAAATGTYTTAATACTATGGGAGTTGTAGTTTTGCAAGAAGTTGTCGTGTCAAATAGCATTAATTCTACAGTGTGGATGTATTCTCAACACTGTGGAACAGTGAGAGTTGTAGTTTTGCAAGGAGTTGTGTCAAACATACATTCTACAATGTGGATGTATTCTCAATACTATGGAATAATGGGAGTTGTAGTTTTGCAAGGAGTTGTCATGTAAAACCGCATTCATTCTACGATGCAGATGTATTCTCAATACTATGGAATAATAAAGAGAGTTGTAGCTTTGCAAAGTCTTTAGCCTTCTCTACCAAAGAGGGATCGGGGGCCTTAGCAAACTACAACTCCTGGGATTCCATTAGAATGGAACTATGGCATCAAATTGCATTAATTCTGCAGTATAGATGCACCCTTAGCCAAGGATCTCAGCAGATCTTCCACCGAATAGTTTGGAATCCTATAGTAGGGAACCAAACTTCTGAGCATGTGCAGAGTGCGTTCACTGCACCCCAGCAGGTAGCCTGAGGTTAGAGAAGACATAAATATATGAAATATAATGTGAGTATGGGGAATGAAGACCTTCCATACTCACTGTCTACTTCCTTCTTCTCAAATACAGCCTTTATAGCTGTGTTTTGTTGCCTGCTTCCTGATTGTAAGGAGCCATGTCTGTTGGTGTCCAGTAATGCACTCTGTATATGGTCGGAGCCATTGCGTATTACTCTTATGCCCCATGGCAAAGGTCCTAATGTTCAGAGTAGCTTTAGAGTGCTTCTATATATACACAAAAAGAGAGTGGAGGGGATTGTTAAGTTGTTGCTGAGTGCCTTTGAGTTATGGCAACTTTAACGATGCGTCTACACAGTAGAATTGATGCAGTTTGGTACTACTTTAACTGTTGTGGCTTATTTCTATGGAATTGTGGGAGTTGTAGTTTTACAAGGTCTTTAACCTTCTCTGCCATAGAGGGCTGGTGCCTCACCTAACTACTACTCCCAGGTTTATATAGCATTGAGCCATAGTAGTTCAAGTGGTGTCAAACTGGATTAATTCTGCAGTCTGGATGCACTAACTCTCATTTGTAAGCACTGGGCTGTTCGAATAAAAGTTAAGGTCTCACAAGTTGAATGAGTGACTTTGTTGCTTTCTCCTCTGAATATATTACATAGTGTTATAGGAGACTGCATGGTTATCCTTCTTTGTTTACTCCATTTTTCCTTGCAAGTACTTTATGACTTCTCTTTCCCCTTCTGAGCATGGTTTGAATAATGCATAACAGACATCTGTGTAGCAATAACTGTATATACAAAGTAGTATTTAATGCTTGGAAATGATGGGCTGTGCCTGACATGAACAATCTTAGGCCCCTTCCACACAGCTGAATAAAATCAAACATTTTCTGCTTTGAGCTGGAATATATGGCAGTGCGGACTCAGATAACCCAGTTCAAAGCAGATATTGTGGGATTTTCCACTTTGACATTCTGGGTTATATGGCTGTGTGGAAGGGCCCTTTTCAAGATGAAACATGGGCTTTTGGCTTTGTCTGCATTGGACCAAGTGGAGAAATGAAGCATGTCAGGATGCAACCTAATATGTACCTCTCTGTTCTCCTTTGAGTTCCTCTGAGTTATGGCAACCTTAACCTCACCTGCAATAAGACTATGTCTGTTTCTGGGTATCATAATTCAAGAAGGATATGGACAAGCTATAACGTGTCCAGAGAAGGGCGGACAAATGTTTCCATTCTTCAAGCCGAGATAGGACAACTTACTTTCCCATGAACCTGGGTGAGAACTTGGAAAAGTTTCTCCTTTGGGCTGTAACTCTCAGGCCCCATCTACACTGCCATATAAAATCCAGATACTCATCTTTGTACTGGATTATATGGTGTTGTAGACTCGTAGAATCCAGTTCAAAGTATATAATGTGGATATTTGTGTGTTTGTCAGGAGCAACTGGAGAAACTGCAAGTCACTTCTGGTGTGAGAATTGGCCATCTGCAAGGATGTTGCCTAGGGGACACCTCGATGTTTGTATGTTTTACCATCCTTGTGGGAGGCTTTTCTTATGTACCCACATGGGGAGCTGGAGCTGACAGAGGGAGCTCAACCCGCTCTTTGGATTCAAACCGCTGACCTGTTGGTCTTCAGTCCTGCCGCAACAGTGGTTTACCTAATTGCGCTACCATGGGCTTCAGTGGATTATCTACTTTGATAATCTGCATTATATGGCAGTATAGGAGGGGGCTCAGGTCCTTCCAGGCAGACCATATATCCAAAATCGAATCCCAGGTTTTCTGTTTATCCCAGATTATCTGTCAGTGTGGACTCATACAATCCAGTTTAAAGTAGAAAACCTGGGATCAGATGCTGGGATATAGGGCCTGCCTGGATGCACCCCCAGGGCCCGTCCACACAGCCATATAACCCAGAATATAAGGGTAGATAATCCACAATATCTGCTTTGAACTGGGTTATCTGAGTCCACGTTGCTATTTAAGCCAGTTCAAAGTGGATTTCATACAGCTGTGTGGAAGGGGCCTCAGTCTCCTACCCATTGGCACTGTTGGTAGGGAAATTCAGGGAGCTGTCGTCCAAAAATAATGATGTTTTTTCTAAACTCTGGTCTGCTTCCCAATGTTCCCAAGTGTTGGAAGAAATTAGATGATGGCAACCAGGGAAATGAATTTTATATGATGACAATTTAGCTGTAAAATATGCTCATCTCATGAGTTTTAGAGATCACACCTTGTGTTCTTGGCCTTGTGAATTTGATGTTGCTCTCTAGGACTCCATCATTATTACCGCCTTTAATTACCACTTTTCTTGTTTTGGGTTATACATTTCTAGGAATTGGGCATTATAATTTTTTTAGTTATGCTAGCTGCATTTGAAAATTGTGTTCTCTAGGAATTTCTAGGCCCACCAGTGTGCCTCTGTGGTCAGTCATTCAAGTATTTGCAGTATACGTGTTCAATTACAGTTTGCAGAACAAATTAAAAACATATTAAAATCTGATCCTTTGAAGTGCATATCCCCAAGCAAGACAAGCAATGATTTAACATAGTAGTCTTTATGTCCTCCAGTGCAAATCTATGCTCAATGGAAGAATCCTCTACCTTGTGCGACTGTGGAACAGAACAAACAACTCTGCATCTCTATGCTTGTCCGCAATCTCCTGCCTCATGTACAGAGGAAGATTTGTTGAAGGCTACAGACAATGCGGTTGCTGTTGCCTGTTTTTCGTCAAAAGATATTTAGCCACTTGTACTCCTTCTATTTTTATCACTGTTATATTAATTTATGCAATACTTTTTATACTAAATAAATAAATGAATATAATGTAAGAATTAATGCACTTTGCCACCACTTTAACTTCCATAGCTCTAAGCTATGGAATGATGGAAGCTGTAGTCTGGAGGAAGCACCAACATTGTTTGCAGAGAAGCCTAAAGACTCCCATGATTCTGTATCATCAAGCCATGGCAGTTAAAGTAGTGCCAAACTGTCAAACCGCATTAATACCTAAGGAAACCAATGGCCACCAGTTTACAAGATTTTAGCAAGGTAATTCATGATGGGATCACGGAGGCCTGTCATTCATACTGTGACCAAAAGTCAATGTTGACTTGAGGGTAAATATCTCTCTCACTTTCTCTATGACATTGAGTATGATGACTCCCAAAGTTTCCGAAAAGGTTGAGGTACAGTTCTCATAATCTGCAGCCCTTCTGCACCATACAGTTTTAGCAC